CTCGCACCTGGCACCAATGAGAAGTTCACCCGACGCAACTGCGTCCTCTCGCCGCGTCCTTCTCCCGCGTCGTGCAGACGCCGCCTCTCTGCCTCAAGAGAGGCCGCGGGTTTCCCGGACGTGGGCAGATTCCTCTGACGCGCAGCAGCACCCGCTGAGTGTCGAGAGTGATCAGCCGCTCTGGCAGCCCCCTGGGCATCCACATCCACAGGTGCGCCCCTCTCATCCCGCGCTGCCGAACAACGCTGCATCCGATGGAACATCGAGTCGGGCGTCGCGCTCGGATCGCGCGACCCCTCGACCAGGCAGCGCCGCATCCAAGGCCCCGGACGCATCATTTCTCGCATGCGGAGCACATGTTAGGCCTCAGACCGCGGGCAACGACGCCGTGGCACAGCCTGCAGTCGAGGTCCTGGGCCTCGCCTGCATCTCTCTGGAGCTGGCGCATCGCGCCTTCATGCGCCGCCGACTTGACGAGGGGCGCGGGCATGGGGGCCACGCCAAGTTCCCCGTAGAAGCCGTCGAGCTCGGTGAAAGAAATCCAGCTGATCCAGGAAAAGGCGCATCTGTGTGGCTCCGAACTGGCCCATGGCACGCCCCTTAGCAAGCTCGTTCTCTCCTTCGCACTGGTGCCCCCGAAGATCTGATCCGAGGCTGGCCTGATGATAATATAATGTCAGTGGGCTCTTGAGCACCTTGCAATGGTTAGCCCTTGCCTCCTGAGCGCGGCGCACAGCCGCGACGCGACGGGCGGGAGGCGGCGCGGGACGGCCTCCTGGACGAGGGTGGAGGCGGCACTGCTCTGACCTAGAAAATTTGGACCTCGACCCATGCAACGCCGCAGCCCAGCCAGTTCGCACTCGGAAGCGCCGCGCGCACTCCGACGTGCACGCAGCCCCTGCGAGGGGCCCCGAGGACAGGCTGCGCCCGCAGCGGCGCTGGCCTGGAGCAGGCCGACGCCTGCGACGGCGCGGAACGCGCTGCGTGAGACGACATGGGGTTTGCAGAATTTCTAATCTCTGCGACCTTACCTCCTGGGCCCCCCCGCAATATCATGTGCCCTCGGGTGCGCGGCGGCGCCGCCGCCTGCACTTTCCCTTTTTCGGGCCCCCGGGGCGACCTCCGATCTTGGACCCAATGGCCTGAGAGGGACACGCGACGGATGACTTGCCCCGCGAGACAGGGCCTCCCACGTCTTCTGAGAGGACAGGGTGCAAATGGAAAGCTCCATCCACGATGGGCTCGGCGACGCGCGAAGCAGGCCCTGCGACCCGTCATCGCCGATGTGAATGCCAAGGTGTTTATGGATCGACTGCGGAAACAGACCCATGGAAAGAATAGCGCGCGCTCGCCAGAAACACGCGGCGAACGAACCCCTAGCCACCGCGCCATGAACATCGTACCAGACCCGCGATGCCCGTGAACCTTCGGCCGCGATGGGCCACGGCGCAAACGCGAGGGCCGCCTTGGAAAGGAGAACAGTTCGCACTGCTGCTGGTGCTGCTGCTGCAGAGGCCTAGGCGGGGCACATCGTCAACGGGCCGCACAGACCCGAGCGCGCCGCCCCTCTCCTGGATCCGGTGGAACCTTCCGCTTCGACAGACTGCCCACGAAGCCAACAAAAGCGAGGGGAAACGGGAGAGGGCGCCGACCGGCCCCCCTCCTCCAGCCGGCTCCGGCAAGAGCGGTGCCGCAACGCACCGCCCGTGGTTGGGGATCGCGGCGGCGGCTTCCACGCTGCGGGATGTGGACGTGCGAAGGACAGGCGCTCCGTCTGACGCGGCGTCAATGTCTCATGTGGAACCATCCGCACTCGCGGCCGCGCGAGACGGGCACGTCGTCGCGACGGCGCTCGACTTCTCGGGCGGCGCGATTGACGGCGGCCCCTGGGGGCCGATCGGCTCGCGAGGCGGGGGCTCGCTGGCGGCCTTCCAGGGCCCGCTGCAACTAGCAGCCCCACTCTCCAAAGGGGACTGGACTGAGGACCAGCAAGAAGAACTCCGTTGCAGGACAGCGTCGACGCGGGAGCCCACGGGGTGACCTCCTCGGGCACAATGACAAATAGTCCTCACCACGGACTCCAAACCGCCAACCAAACAGGACATCCATATCAGATCCACCCGAGAACGCGCACAATGCCGCCGACACTTTATCTGATATGCAGACGTGGTCCCGATTCCTCATGCTTCGCAAACCTTCGGAGGCCTTCTGAACGTAACCCTCGGCGTCCCGGAACTTAAACGCGAACGCGCCGAGGTGGTCCGAGATGAGGTCGGGGGAATTCAGGGGGAAAGACCCAGATTCGCGAGATTGGGGAGGGGATGGCGACGATCTACTAGCATTACCATCATTATCTCGAAGTGGGGTGCTTTCGAGGCCAGCAGAAGTGAGACACCACGAAGGAGCGCCAGCAGCCACGACGCGCTGGCTGCTCACGTAGCCCTGCGCCGCGAGACCAGCTTGAAACGCGTGAAACCTTGACGTGAAGTCGGTTTGTGGCAGTCGTACGGGAGTGGGTCCAGCTGCGGCCGCCCTGCAACAGGACCACCACTTCCTGGAACTCCCGAAGCAGCAAGGCAGCAGCACCCGGGGTAACCCACGGGCGTAACGTCGAAACAAAATGCGTCAGTTGCTCTCCGCCGCCGTCGTAGCATACAGTCCAGGCTGCCTAGCTACCCTGCTGACTATGCCGGCGACCGACCTCCAAACAAATTTGGGCAAACTACCCCCGAGCGCTTATAACAGGAAGAAGAACTTTCCGGTCAGCTTGGATCCCCATGTCCGCTTTACTTGCCCAGAAACGATAAAGAGTGTTGGGGCGGTTCTGGATTGAGATCCAGGGAGGCCCTGGCCGTGACCAACCCACTCCCATAGTTGGCACAATCTCTTTCCTTATACCAATACGGGGGCTCAGGAGTAGGAGCGATGCCACACAACAGGGGGGACGAGGATGGCCGACGAAGCTGAGAGCCTGCATATTGGCAATATGCTCGAAAAAAGAAGGCGCACGTGCTTGTGGGGCTTATTGGCCGCCTCTCGGGCCTTAATGGCCTGGGACAGGCCGCTGGAAACGACGAAATAGTATAGCTTCGTGTCTCTCTCCCTCGAGGTGCCTGAACACGTGCCTTGAGCTTCTGTGGAAACGTTGTCAGCCGACAGAGATTGCGCGAAATCGCTGACCGCCAACCCCTGCGGCTCCATCTGTAAGCCATCCCCCGCAATTGAAGGCCCCTGGTACCAAGCAGGCAGAGACCCAACAGAGGACAGCGTGCCCAAAATGGATTCCGAGGAGCCCCCTGAGTCCTCAGGGTAAGCTGGCACCGCTATGAAAGAGGATGCCCCTGGGATCTGGATCACGGTAGCCCGAACCCACTGGTGGACGAACTCAGGACCGTCCCAAAGATCGTACATGCCCACGAAATCTCGACCCCAAAATAGCAACGCCTCCCGAGGAATCATGGGCCACTACTTGAGCGGCAGAAAGAACATGCATTCCATCTAGAGCGGACGGCCCACTGCGAGGACACCCCGACCTGATCTTGCGAGACGAAATGGTGCTCCTGTGCGAGGACCGCGTGCGCAGGCGTCGGACCCAGCCACGCCGTCGTGGCTGCCTACCATGTGCAGGTTGCGGTCTCAACCTCCACTTCAAAACTTCCGAACCTAATCGGGCAAACTGGGGGGCCCTGAGACTTGTGCCAACTTCCAAAGCGGCGACGCATGGGGACGGGAAAACGGCCTAGCCTGGCTGTAGCTGGCGAACAATCCGCCCGCAACAAAAATACCTGTGTGATCACTCCTCGGTTCAAAGATGCCTGTGCTGACCTGACGAGGATCCCAATGGCTAGGGGGTGGGAGGCGCTGGGGTGGCATGGGCTCCGCCCTCACTATCTGCGCCCCTGCCAGCACCCTGGCCCAAGACGACCTTGTCCTCTTGCGGACGCCCGCGTCGGGTATGAAACGGTCGAGAGTTTCTAGCCCAGCTGGGGCAGGCTCAGCACGTCCCGCTCCTTTGCGAGCCAGTTCAAGAACGTCCTGCTTCCCAAGAGAACTTGTCGATCCGCTTCCCGAGCCAGCAACAGCGGACCCTGCTGAAGCCGCAGTGTCGACAAGGATGGGCTCCTTGTCGTCTCCTTTGCCGTCGGTATTCCTCTTCTTGTTGAGCCTGTCCACGTGCTTGCGCTGCTCCCCTTTGATGCGGTCGACGGTGGCCAGCACGTCTCCGAACAGCTTCTGGGACAACTCCTTGAAGCCAGCCTGAAAGGTCGCCTTCCACTTGGCGAACCTCCTGTGGTTGGTACGCCGTCGTCCACTAGGGTAAAGGCACCATCATTGCCCTCGATGTCGCGCGAATTGATGCCGTGAGCGGTCACAGCAGCAGCGCGCCCGGCCTCAGCGCCAACGCCAGGATGAACAGAAGAAGGAGGAGGAGGTAGGAGGAGGAGGAGGAGGAGGAGCAGGAGGAGGAGGAGGAGGAGGAAGAGGAGGAAGAGGAGGAGGAGGCGAAGAAGGAGGAGGAGGAGGAGGAAGAGGAGAAGAAGCAGGAGCAGGAGCAGGAGGAGGAGGAGGAGGGGGAAGAGGGGATGGAGCGACAGGGAGGCGACGAAACGTGCACCTCTCGTGCCACTTCTGGGCCCCAGGGGGGGCCCTTCAGGGCCCCGTGTGGGGCACGAGAGGTGCACCTCCGCACCCACCCCCCTCACTGCTCGCCCTCCCCCCCCCCGCTAGACGACGACGCCCGATCGTGGGCGGCGGCGCCGCCGCTGGCGGACTCCGCGCTGCCGCTGCCGCCGCCCGGGCGGGCACGCGGCCACCGCTCACGGCGGCGCACGAGACTTGAGAGTGGGTTTTCATAAGGACGTCGTTCTGGTTTTATTCGGGAAGGCATTTTGGTTTTATTCGTTTCTGGTTCGTGATGGTTAGGAGGAGGAGGGGGAGGAGGAGGAGGAGGAGGAGGAGGAGGAGGAGGAGGAGGAGGAGGAGGAGGGGGAGGGGCGGACCCCTCGCGGCCAGGGCCCCAGCGCCCGGCGCCCGGGCGCCGCAGCGGCCCGGGGGGGGGGGGGCCTCCCGCGCAGCTCGGGCACACTTGCAGCTCGGGCATCCCGCAGCTCGGGCATCTCGCGGCTCACCTCTCGCAGCGGCGCTGGGCGCCGCCAGGGTCGATCTCGGAGGTGTCGAGGGCGGCCCGCGAGAGGACGAAGTCCCCGACGCCCGCGTTGAGGCGCGCCCACTCCGAGTCGGCCGCCGCCTGGAGGCTGCTGTTCCAGCTGGCCTCCGAGACCACCATCAGCGTCATGTGGAAAAGCCCCTCGCGCCTCTCCCCCCACGCCCAGGGCATTCTGGGAACCATCCTTCGCCAAAGTTCTGAGTTTCGGCCCCTGGAGCCCGTTGTGGGCCTCAGGGCCCTTGTCAAGCGACCTACTGTCTGAGAAAAAAGAGCATTGAAAGATCCTCCAGGACCCATGACTGCTTTTCGGCGGCGAGCCTGGGGGGGAAGCGAAAACGGGCGGGCCTTCTCAGAAGGCTCGGAAGTCCCTCAGCCTGCTGAGAAGTTGTTCTGAGCCTTCCCTGGAGAGACAGAAAACTTCTCAGAAGGCCGAAGGGCTTCTAAGAAGACCCGCCGCCTTCTGAGAAAGCCTTCTCCTTCTCACTTCCCCCCCTCGCTCGCCGCCGAGCTTTTCACAGCGGTGGTCTGGGTCGGCTTCCCGTGACCACGTTGCTCGCGCCTCTCCGCTCCCCCTAGCGCCCTCTCGAAGGAGCGCACCGCCCCGAACAGCCTCAGCTGCGACTCGTGGTCAGCGACGAGCGCGAGATACACGCTCGGGATGCCGTCCTTCGGGTCGTGCACGCAGACCTGTGGGGGGCGACCACGAGGGGGGCGTCTGAGAGTCGGGTCGGGCGAAAGGGGGGGGATAGCAAAGCGGGGGGGTGAGAATCAGCTCGCGTCGCTGATTTTCCCGGCGCCTCCCTGCGCCGGAGGCGGCCATGTATCGAGGCATGGGCCCCTCGGTGGGGCCGAAACCAACTGCACGCAGCAGATTTCGTAACCCCACCCCTTTCCCAATCCCCCCCTTTCGTCCAGCCCGGGAGAAGGGGGGGTCGCAGATCGTCTCACGAGCGGCGGACGTATCCAAATCCACGCCCTCGCGGCCCGGGCTCTGGGGGGCGCAGGCCGGTGGATGCGCGGTCACACGGCCGGGCTCTTTGCGGGGGGCACCCGCGAAAGAAAGCGCCCCGTGCCCGCGGGACCGCGGCCCGGGGGCCTGACCCGCGAGGCCGCGGGTACGATCGTGGACCGAGGCATGTATCCAGGCGGCTCCTCCTCCTCCTCCTCCTCCTCCTCCTCCTCCTCCGCCTCAGGGAGCGCATCGAGAGAGCAAGAGAAGGGGGGGAGGGGGCGGGGCATATGCCATCTGGGGGGATTACACAGCCCCGGCCACGATGTCCACCCCATCCGAGGGGGAAACCAGAAGGCACCATTACCGCTGCTCCCCAGCAGGGCTGGACCTAAACGTTGTGTTTCGTTTTGTTGTCGTTGTGTGTTTCGTTTGGCTCGAACTGTTTTCCTGTACCTCCCTGCCAGAACGGTCCAGCGATGCTCCCCTGACCTCTCCCGGGTGCGTTCCGACCAGAATGTCGAGGCGAATCCATCCGTGGCGACGAGGGTCTCCCAGGAGGCCCAGAAACGGGAAGACGAGGGAAGGGCAGCGGCGTGGGTACCTTGTTCTCCTCGGAGCCCTGGTCATCACCCCCCCCTCGTGGATGCCCGCAGAGACCACGCGGTCGTGCAGCCGAATGCGAACGTCGGGGAACTGGAACGACCCCACGGCGCCGCCCCAGAGCGCGCAGGCCTCTCGCCCGCGGGGGCTGCAGCAGCTGTAGGCGAAGCTGACGTGGGCAGCGTCCGCCGCGAAGAGGATGCTCCCCGCGTCCAGCCGTGCCCGGAGGAACCTGGCGGCGAGCCAAGAACAAACCGGGCGGGCACAAGGTCGGATGTCGGGGCCCGCAGTCTGCGCCGGGGGGGAAGGGAACACAGCTGGGTGGTCGACGGCGAGCCCAGGCTCAGGGGGTGAGGTGAGAGGGGGCGTGCCTGCTCAGAAGGCGGCGGGGGCTTCGCAGAAACCCTCGCGCCCTCTGAGACACCGCCTGCGGCATCGGAAAAGGCCCCCACGGCGTCCTTCCGTCCTCGTCGCCCTCCGCCCCCCCGGTGAACTCCATGAGGCGCGACCACTCCCCCGCGGGGCGCAGGGCCTCGCCGCCACACCCGCGGAGCTTCGGCGCCGCGCACGCGCCGCTCGACCTTTCGGCGGGCCCGCCCCCGATCCACGCCGACGTCGCCGACATCACCATCATCACAACCGTCGGAATCATCATCTGCATCATCATCATCATCAGCATCATCATCATCATCATCATCATCATCATCATCATCATCATCATCATCACCATCATCATCATCATCATCATCATCAGCATCATCATCATCATCATCACCATCATCATCATCACCATCAGCAGCAGCATCATCAGCATCAGCATCATCATCATCGTCATCAGCAGCAGCAGTATCAGCAGCAGCAGCAGCATCAGCATAAGTATCATCATCATCATCATCATCATCATCATCATCATCATCATCATTGGCAGCGTCATCATCATTATCATCAGCATCATCAGCATCATCATCATCACCATCATCATCATCAGCATCATCATCATCATCATCATCACCATGATCATCATCATCAGCATCATCATCCTGGTCATCATCACCATCATCGTCATTATCAGTATCATCCTTCTCCTCCGAATCATCATCGTCATCGTCATCGTCATCGTTATCATCATCGTCAGCACCATCATCGTCATCAGTATTCCCATCATCAGTACCATCAACACCAGCATCACCCTCACCCTCATCCTCCCCTCCTCTTCCTCCTCGTTTCCTTATCGTAAGCAAAATCATCGTCGTCATCATCATTATCAGCAACAACACCTCACCCCCACCATCATTATTATCGTCAGCATCACCATCACCACCATCATCCCCATCTGCATCATCATCATCACCATCAGCATCATCATCATTATCCTCCTCATCCTCATCATCATCGTCATCATCATCAACACTATCCTCATCATCGCCATCATCATCATCATCATCATCATCATCATCATCATCATCATCATCATCATCATCTTCATGTTCATATTCATCTTCATCGTCAGCATCACCGTGATCATCCTCCTCCTCATCATCAGCAGCATCATCATCGTCGTCCACCTCCTCCTCATTAGCATCATCAGCAGCAGCAGCATCACCACCATCACCAGAACCAGCATCACCACGACCAACAGCAACACCAACACTATCGTCCTCATCATCATCATCAGCCGCACCAGCAGAATCACCGTCATGATCAGCATACCCACCGTCGTCATCATCATCAGCATCATCATCACCATCATCGTCATCATCGTGCGAATTCCCCTCCATTACATCCTCCTCTGCCTCATCCTCGTGCACCCTTCTCCTCCGTCCCTTCTCTCCCGAGCAAAGCTGCTCCTCTTCGCAGCCCTGGGCGTATCTGAAGGCGGGCTGGGCGTACGGCACCCATCTTCCTCACTACTTGTTGGTCATCCGGCTTGCAGCGATCCAGAAGTTGCAGAGATGGAGAGCGCGATGGCTTCACATTGCGGCTCTCGGCGTAGCGCCGCGCACACGGGTCCGCACGATGTTCCGCCACTTTCACGGATGGAGGGTTTGTGGGCTTCACGGTGTGCTCTCGCCATGGCGCCGCGCACGCTCGTTTGAAAAAAACTTCTGACACTTCTGCGGATGGTGTTCGCATTACGGCTCTCGCTGCAGCACCGCTCACACTCGTTTTAAACCAGTCTCATTCTTCTACGGATGGGTGGAGGTGGTATTCAAACTGTGGCCCTCGCCGTAGTAGTGCTAGCATACGTTTTTTTATGCCAGGAGCAGTCCCCCAAACAGTGCTTGCACTTACGGGCTCTCACTTCTGTTCTAAAGAGCTGTGCCTTGTCTTCGGTGTGGCGACTATGTGGCCGCCGTCGCCGCCCCGTCGCCGTCTCGTCGCCGCTCGACGTCTGGGCCACATCTTCGGTCTGGCAGCTATGTGGCCGCTGTCGCGGTCCAGTCGCCGCCTCGTCGCCGCCCGTCGTCTGGGCCGTGTCGTCGGCCTGGCGGCTATGTGGCCGCCGTCGCCGCCTTGTCGCGGCCCTAGATTTTCCTGTTCTAAAAGAGGAACAGTTAGACTCCACCACCCTCCCGGAGCCGGACTTACCAGTACCCCCTGGGGATGTGCAATTAACACATGATTCTGTCCCATCATCCATCCTAGATACGAATTCGCACCATTCCAGGGGGGCCGGTACCCCCACGCACGCCATCCTCTGCAACATATATATATATATATATGTGTATGTGCGCACGCTCGTTTATTTAAAAATGAGCTGTTTCCAAGAACTCCTCGCAACAGATGAGACGAAGTGCACACGCGCGCGCTGTCGCGCGCTCGTGCCGAAATCCTTCCAAAACCGCCGGCTTCGTAAGGATTCCCACATCAAGTATCCCAAGAACATATAAAACCACAAGGTTTCGAATCACAGATGTTCAAAACGAACTTGCGCGCACGATCTTGCGAATGCTTAAAACAACATCGGGGTTTTCAACAGATCCTGAAAATGCTACCAGACGGGCTCCGTGCGCGCGCATGTCGAAATCGTTCGAAAGTCCTTGCGCGCGGGCCGTCCCGAGAATCCTTTTGCAAAACATGTGAGGCGAAGTGCACACACGCGCGTCCTCGTCGCGCGCGCATGTCGAGATCCGTCACAAACCTTCGCCTCCGTAGCGGTTTCAAAACCGAGTGTCCAACAAACATACAACAAACATATGGTTTCGCGACATCCGTCTAAAAAAGCGTGCGTTCGCGCTCTAACGAATTCTTGAAAGAACCATGGGATCTTCAACATGTTCATGGAATTCTGCCAAACGGGCTTCTGGCGCCCCTTGCCGAAATTATTTGCACGCCCTTGCGCGGGTGCTGGGGGGGGGGGCACGATCCGTGTCAACTAATACCATGCGGGCCACTCTCGCGCGTCGGCCGCGCGCGCATGTCGAACTCGTTCCAAAAACTTCATCACCGACGCGAGGACGCCGTCATCGTCGTCGGCGTGGTCAGCATCGGCGCCCGCACTGGCCGCGCCTAGATTGCACCACATAGTTTGTCCCACATAAATGCCTTACACAGCATTTATTGCACCGTACTGTCTGCACCATACCCTACACAACCTTTACATACATATATCTGTATATGGCATGTTTGCGCCACCTGGGTTGCGCAACTTAAATTGAAGCGCGTAGAACGTACAGCTTGTCTTGCAACAGGTCGATTGCACCGCCTGGGTTGCACAACCTAAAGTACACTACATAGTTGGCACAACCGATACTGCGCCGTGCAAATTGCACAGCATTATGTGTTAGAAACACACTGCTTGGGGCCCCCGCTGGTTAGCATGTCTTCGAATTAAGGATGCCGTTTGCAGTCCTGCAGGTGTTCAACTCCTGGCTCCCGCTTGCGGCATCCATAAGCTGCGTTTTCCGACAGCTTGAGTACAGAACAGTTACATGGGTGATGGGCGCCGCATGCTCAAAGTTGTGCTCTTGCCCAGGTGCCGCGCAGAGCCTCCGTACAACAACCACCAATTACATTGATGTCAAGTGAGTCCCTGACCTTGAAAATTGAATATGGTCCAGCATTCGCGTGTCGATCGATGCGCATTTGGCAACACAGCAAAAAGCTCTCCAGCTGTGAAGGTCTACTCTTGTCCACCGGATGCTCGCAGCAGCAAAGCGAAACGCGTGAATTGCCTTACCGCACATTCGCGGCGTGACGACTCCGGCGTTGGTTTCCGACACCGCGTGGATCATTCCACCTTGGGCCATCGCGACTTCCAAACAGCGCGGATCGTTCGATATCGGCCGGCTCAGGGCCGACAACGGCGTTCAACCTTGAACGCCCACGCGAGGGCCGACGCCGCGTCGAGACGACACGAACCTGCCGTGCGAGCAGAGGTCTTGGGACAGGAGGGTGTGTTGCAGCAGCGGCCGCACCGCAGGGCTGCCTCCGGGCTTGTGACAGAAACTGCTTCAGCATCTGAGGTGCGTGCTGTGCCTGCTCGGGTCCTCTCCCTCCTCCTGCCTCCCTCCTGCCTTCTCGTCCTCCTGCTGCTACCCTGCTGGGGGCAGTAAATCGGGCCGTGCTGGGGGCATCAAAGACAGCACGGCTCCGCGGGATTTCGACATACACCCGTCTGGCTCCGCCACCGCAGGTTGCCACTTCTGAAGGGGCCCTGGGACACACAAATAAATACACACAAATAACAATATTCCCAATAGTTTTTTAAATATTTTCTGGGTTTTCGTATTCCCTCCCACTTCCCATATTTTCCCATATTCTCCTGGGAGTCGACGATCAATTGTGTCTGTGTGTTTCTTTTCCTCCTGAACTTCCACCCTCGCTGGCTTCCTGCGGGGATGGCGAGACGACGGGCGTTCGCCAGGCTGCCAGAGGCTGTGGCCAAGCTGCTGCTCCTCCGAGGCAGGAGGTGGGGCGGCGGCAGCGCCGACCGTCTTGACCTTTTCATCCTCGATCCGTCGATCCCTCCTGCTGCTACCCCTCCTCCTGCCCTGGCTTATGCCTTTCCGCCTCCTCGTGCTGTGTGCCGCCCTGGCCCTAGCCCATTGTCCGCAAAGTCTACGGTCTGAAACTGTTGCTAAGCGTCTCGCAGCGACCCCGGCGACATGCTGTGTCCTGCAGACTGGTAGCGTGTCGCTTCGCTCCGCGCGGCGGGAGGCCAGGAAAAACCTCCAGACGTTGACGCGTGGGGACTGGGAAGTGGCCAGCGTGTCGCACCGAAACGCGGTGGGCAAGAACTGGCGGCTCGACACGCTAAGCCAACGTTCCCGACCGTAAACCTCCTCCCCCGCCACTTCCTCCTCCTCCTCCTCCTCCTCCTCCTCCTCATCATCATCATCATCATCATCATCATCATCATCATCATCATCATCATCATCACCATCCCCATCCCTATCATCACCATCATCATCATCATCATCATCATCATCATCATCATCATCGTCATCATCATCATCATCATCTGCAGCATCATCATCATCAGCAGCATCATCAGCATCATCATCACCATCAGCATCAGCATCATCATCATCATCATCATCATCATCATCATCATTATCATCATCATCATCAGCAGCAGCATCAGCATCATCATCATCATCATCATCATCATCAGCATCGGCATCGTCATCGTCGTCCTCATCCTCATGCTCATCCTCATCCTCCTCCTCCTCATCTTCATCTTCATCTTCATCATCATCAGCAGCAACATCATTATCAACATCATTGCCACCCTCCTCATTGGCCACATCGCCCGCCAGAGGTGTTGCCGAGAGGGGGGGCCCACCATGAGGCGGGGGTCGATTATCGACCCGCCGAGGCCTGCAACCCGCCAGCGCGAGCGTGCCGGAGAGGCATGACCTCACGAACGCGCACGGGAGGAGCGAGAGAGCGAGGGAGAACGCGAGAAACAACAAAAGAGAAAAAGACAGAAAGGGAGAGAGAGAGAGAGAGAGACAAGAAGAGAGAGAGAGAGAGAGAGAAAGAGTATGACAGCGGGCGGAAGGAGGGCATGAGCAGGAGGGATGAGGAGGAGGAGGAGAGCCGAGAGGGAGGACAGAGGAAGAAGGAGCCGCCAGGAGGAAGAGGAGCCAGACGATCGGGGCGATGCCGAGAGACCAGGAGGAGGAGGGGGAGGAGGAGGGGGGCATCCTCCGCTCTCGCCCGCGCGCGCCACGCGGCGCGCCTGGCGGGCTGACCCTGCACCTCCGGCATCGCCACGACAGCAAGGCGAAGGCCAGGGGCGGACGCGGGTGGCTGCCCACCCCCGGGGCGGCCCCGAGGCTCGCAGAGGGCTGCCGAGGCCCGCGAGCCTCCTCCTCGTCCTCCTCCTCCTCCTCCTCCTTCTCCTCGTCCTCCTCCTCCTCCTCCTCCCTCGTCCTCCTCCTCTCTCCTCGTCCATCTCCTCCTCCTCCTCCTCCTCCTCCTCCTCCTCCTCCTCCTCCTCCTCCTCCTCCTCCTCCTCCGGCGGCGCGCGAGGCCGGGCTCCGCAAGGTGAAGGAGACCAGCTGGTGGCCAGACGGCCAGCACGACCGGCACGACTTCCAGCACCGCGGCCAGCACTCTGGCCAGCACGGCAAGTACGACAGCCACCACGGCAGCCAGCACGACACGTACGACGGCCAGTGCGACTGCCAGCACGACAAGTAGGTCAAAGAAAAAGGTGCTCAGTGAGAACGCCGAAAAGGGGCGCGAGACGGGAGCATCCCCACGCTGAAGTTCATCGTCATAGAGGTACTGGCGCCCCTCACGACCCGCGGGAGTTCTCTGACAGGGTGTGCACAGCTTCCAGTTGGCAGGCAGGGGCAGGTGGCGGTCGTGGTAGCCTGGGCATCTCTGGGCGAGAGAGGCCCGCCGGCGCTCGGATACACATGCACACTTGGTGGCATGAGGGCCCAGGGCGCTTAGCATCCGAGGCCACGCCCCCCGTGAGCAGAGTGGTGGGGAGCCCATCCATTTGCACAGTCGAAAACGTTTGCGATCACTTGCGGCTGAGGCTGAGGAAGGCTGCCTCTGACTACCTACCAGACCACCCCAACCCAACCCGAAGACCTGAATTTCGGGTTGGAGGGGTTATGGGCTTCATGAAGTTATTTTTCAATTTTCCCTGACCCCCCTCCCGCTGGAAATGGAGGGCAAGTCGAGGCCTTCGGGTTGGGTTGGGGTGGCTAATGGTGGGCGGTGATCTTGAAAGGCCCGCGCCTTCTAAGATTCTAAGGCAGGTGTGCTTCAAGGAAGCCTTTTCCCCTCCCCCTGTTTACCCCCCGCCCTGCGTGGCCAGAGATCGTCTCCGCCTCAGAGGACCCAGAATCTAACGCGCTGAACTGTGAAGTGCGTGCGGGAGCGTCCCGACGGAGTGAGACAGATGAGGCAACGGGTTGCGCCCCGATGGCATCAAAGACTTGCGCGCCAATGGCAACTCAAGGGTTGCACCCCAATGGCAACGGGCACATCACCGTTCCTGGGCCGAGGGTGGGCATGGCCATCGGCGGTGGACATGGTGCCGATTCCGGAGACCCTGAGCCTAGAAATGTTGCCATCTCTTTGGGGGCCGATTTTGACGTCCGTCGCCTTCCAACGAGCTCCCGCGACCTTCCGCCGAAAAGCGGTATCGGCTCCTTCGTTCCTCTATTCTCAACTCAACGCCTCATACACATGCTTCTCGCTACAACACAGCTCCCTCATGCTGGGAAGCCCGCTCTGTAAACGAGAACCCGGCATGCAGAACCCGCACCCGAGAGAGAATACCTACATCTGACAATGGCAGAGCACACCGCGAAAGACCCAGACATTCCAGACATCCGGGGCCGCGCGACAAAAAGATCGATGTCAGAGGTTAGAAGTGTTTCTGCCAGTTCCGGTCTGCCTCCCTGGGGTCGCTCGTGCTCGCGGGCGGCTCCGCCTCGAAACTCTGCCCAGAACGGCAGCCCCAGCACGTCTGACCCCCGGAACGCTGAGAAGCCTTTGACACCCTCGAGCATCTGAAGACGGTCGCCTTCTCGAATGTGGGCCTCTGGATGCCGATCTCGGGCCCTGGCGACGACCATCAAGAACCGACTCCGGACGAGAAGCCGCCCCCTCGGGCAAGGGTCGAGAGATCCTGGGGTTCTGTCGGGCCTGACCCTCTACAGGAGGAGAACTGAAAAATAGTCAAAGAATAATCGGGGGACGATTCTTTGACAATGGTTGATTACTCTTGGGGGTATTGTTGAACGATGCCTAATTCTTCATCTAAAATCCGCCTGTAGGAGGACGTGCCCGACACAAGCCTGGGGGAGGGGGGGCAGGTCAGCGGACAGCTGGCGGGGACGTTTGGTGGACCCGGGCACCGGCGGGCCCGAAGGCAATGCAGCCGTGGGTCGAGGCTCTCGCCAGTGCGAAGGTGCCTACCCACCAGACCCCCTCCCCCTCCTCCTCCTCCTCCCTCCTCCTCCTCCTCCTCCTCCTCCTCCTCCACCTCCTCCTCCTCTCCTCCCCCACCTCCTCCTCCTCCTCCTCCTCCTCCTCCTCCACCTCCTCCTCCTCCTTCCTCCTCCTCCTCCTCCTCCTCCACCTCCACCTCTTCCTCCCTCCTCCTCCTCCTCCTCCTCCTCCTCCTCCTCCTCCTCTAACCCGAAGGTCCAAAATTCGGGTTGGGGGGGGTACGGGTTCCGTGCAGTAGGAGCTCGACCACAAGAAACCTTCCACAAGAAACCCAACCCTGTCCATGGATTCTTGGTGCGGGAACGCCACGCTCTCCATCGCAAAACGACCGAAACCCAAGAAACTCAGAGCACCCTGGAGGCAATCAGGGCGTTTCTTGGCATGGGTCTCCACTTGATGTGTTCTTTCATTGTTCCCCGACACCCCCGCACTGGAAATGGAGGGCAGGTTGAGGCCCTCGGGTTGGGCTGGGGTGGTTTGGCGGGTGGTGGGAAGAGTCAGAGTCCTGGTTGGCAGCGCCCTGGTTCTTGTCAAGGGGGCCCTGAACGTCTCGACAAGAGTCGAGCTGCCAGATGTCTGGGGACGGGTCCTGGGCCAGCTAACGTTGCTCACCGCGCCGTGCGCGGCGCGGAGCACCCCTGTCGCCTTCGGGAGCTCTCGGAGCCCCGCGCGGATTGCCTGGATCGGCGCTGGGCTCCCCTCCAGGGGCGGCGCCGGAGGCGCCGTCAGGAGGTCCGGCGCCAATCCAGGAAACCCGCCCGGAACTCCGAAAGGGCATATTTTGCGCAACGTGTTTCTCTGCGACTCTCGAGTGGCGTTCCGCCGTGCCCCCGAAGGCCGAGGCATCACGAAGGACGGCGTCTCGGAGGCCGCGGCCCGCCGCGCGCCGCAGGCTCGGCTGAGGGCGCGGCGGGTTGGGCGCCAGGACGGCGCGGGTCACCTCCGGCGGGGCTGGACGTCCGATGGGGGAGACGTATAAGGCTCGGGTTCGGAGGACTCAGGTTTTGGCCGACGCGCTTTGACGGGCCAGCCCCGGGTGCTGACCGCACGACGAGTGATGATTCGCCGCTTTTGTTGTGGCCACCGCTGGACTTGGGGCCCGTCGAAAAACGACTGCGGATTGAAAACCAGCCCCGGGGAAGAGTGTCAGGAAGAGAAGGAGGAGGAGGAGGAGGAGGAGGAGGAGGAGGAGGAGGAGGAGGAGGAGGAGGAGGAGGAGGAGGAGGAGGAGGAGGAGGAGGAGGAGGAGGAGGAGGGAGGAGGAGGAGGAGGAGGAGGAGGAGGAGGAGGAGGAGGAGGAGGAGGAGGAGGAGGGAGGAGGAGGAGGAGGAGGAGGAGGAGGAGGAAGGAGGAGGAGGAGGAGGAAGAGGAGGAGGAGCAGGAGAGGGGGGAGGATGATGATCGAGGACCTCCTGGCTCCAGTCCTCTTGCCGCCCGAGCGCAGGGCTCTGCAGCACATGGCCGCCCGAGCGCCGCCGGGGCAACAGCGCCACCAGGCAGATGGCCGCGCCGCCGCAGGCGGCCACGACAGCACGGCTTCGGGAGGCCCGCTCGGAGAGGTGCCTCTGGGAGTTGCTGCCGCTGCTTCCTCTTCCTCCTGCTTTCGGAAGAGGGAACTGATACCTACACCGCCGAACCCTTCTGTCGGTTTTGCCTGTCTGGGTCTCCTGGGAACCCCTCGTCGCCACGACCGGATTCGCCTCGAAGTTCTTGTTGGGCGCACCTGGGACAGATCCGAGGCGTAGCGGTATCGGTGCCACCTGGTGCCCCCATGCCCCTCTTCCTCCCCCCACTCCTCCCCCCCCCATATCTCCGGCGAGGCGCTCGTGTGTCAGCTGGCGGCGTCTCCTCGATGCCAGCCCCATGGAGGCTGTCATCGGGCCACGGGGCCAGGAAGTGCGGATCCGGGGCGGAAAGCACACCCCGAGGGAGGGGTCGCGAGTGACCGCAGAATGTAAGCAAGATCAGATCATGTCTGGACTCTTCTTCTCTACACACATCACAAGTGGCCCGTTCGGGGCATCATCGGGCCATGTTCTGCGACGAGATGGGCCCGCCAGCAAAGTGAGGTTTCTCCATGGGCTCAGGCCCCCGATCGCCCTATTGCGGGTTCCACGAATCCTGCCGGTGCTGCTCATAGCCTGCTCTTCCTCCTCCTCCTTCTCCTCCTCCCCCCTCCTCCTCCTCCTCCTCCTCCTCATCCTCCTCCCCCCTCATTCCTTCCTTCCCCTTCCTTCCTTCCTTCCTTCCTTCCTTCTTTCCTTCCCCCATATTTCTCCTCCTTCTCCTCCTCCTCCTGGTCCTGGTCCTGGTCCTCCTCCTCCTCCTCCTCCTCCTCTTCTTCCACCTCCTGCTCCTCCTCCTGCTCCTCCTCCTCTTCCTCCTCCTGCTCCACAAACACACACAGACACACACACACACACACACACACACACACACGCACACACACACACACACACACACACGCACACACGCACACGCACACGCACACGCATACACACACGCACACACAGACATACACACGCACACACACGCACACACAAACACACACACACACCACACACACACGCACACGCACACGCACACGCACACGCACACGCACCCACACACACACACACACGCGCACATACGCACACACATATACATACACAAACACGCACGCACACATACGCACACACACGCTCTTTTTGGCGATCGCGGCCTCGCGCGCAGCGACGAGGCGGAGCGACACCCACCCACCCGCACACACACACACACAAACACACACACACACGCCAAACACAGACACAGACACAAACACACACACACACACACACACACACACACACACACACACACACACACACACACAGCAAACACGTTCACACAAACACGCACACTTTTTGGCGATCGCGGCTTCGCGCGCAGCGACGAAGCGGAGCAACACACACACACACATACAAACACACACACAAACACGGCAAGTTCGTGTCGTGCCGACTTCGGCGTTGGTTTCTGACACCGCGGGGATCGTCCAATCTTGAACGATCGGCCGTGCAGGTTCCGCAACGTCCGCTCGTTCAACATCGACAATTCTATATAAGTCGCCAGCGGCGTTCGGCATAGAACGCCGGCGGCGGGGTCGCCGCCAGTCTACACGACGCGAACCTACCGCACACACAAGCACAACGTACCAGCAAAGCTCGTGTCAGCAAAGGTGGCTCGAGTAGGAGGTCGGCCAGTGAAAGCGTGCCCAAGAAATCCTGTGAAAGATTCAGCCGGGACAAGGGTGAAAACACGGCCATGTGCACCTTAGCGTTTGTTTCATAAGGTATTGTTGCCGCCCCGACCAAAAATGTAGCAGGCATTGAGGCGAGAGCACGATTCCTGAATGAATTGAGCTGAAGTCTCATTTGTAGAACCCTCTGGCAAAACGCTCTTAAGGAAAATCCCCGTCAACCTGCTTCGCGCCCCCATCCTGCTTCACATCCTCCTCCCCGCCACGCCGCCCCTTCTGGGGAAACAGACGAACACCCATAGGGCGACCGCGGTGGCCTGGGCGGCAGGCATACTCTTGACGGTCCCGGGGCCCCGCGAGGGCCCCAGTAGGCCGAAACCCGCAAACCACCGTCCGTCTTGTTTTTACCTAACAGCTTTTGCTGATAGGTTTCTAGTAAAGTCAAAAGAGAGCATGATGACTCCTCAGGGGGGTCTGGGCGGGTGCCGGGGAGGAGAACCGGGAACAGAACCGGGAACAGAGCCGGGCTCGCTTTTCGCCAACAGTCACACACTTCGTGCTCTTCGACCTCCCAGAACTCCATTCCCGGGCCACATTCTGGATGCCCGGAGCCAACTGTAGGCCACTTCGTGCTCTTCGACTTCCCAGAACCCCATTCCCGGGCCACATTTTGGATACCCGGAGCCAACTGTAGGCCACTTCGTGCTCTTGGACTTCCCAGAACACCATTCCTGGGCCACATTTTGAATGCCCGGAGCCAACTGTAGGCCACTTCGTGCTCTTCCACTTCCCAGAACTCCACTCCCGGGCCACTGTTGCTGCTGCTAGTGTAGCTATTGCTATTGCAACTACTGGCAGTGCCACTGCGACTGCCGCTGATGTTGCCACTGCGACTGCCACTGCGAATCCGAATGCCAGGCTGAGGCTGAGGCAGGCTGAGGCTGAGGCCGAGGCCGACGGCAGACTGAGGCTGAACCTGAAGCAGGCTGAGGCAGAGGCAGGCTGAGGCTGAGGCTGAGGCTGATGCAGGCTGAGGCTGAGGCAGGCTGAGCCTGAGGCCGAGGCTGAAGGCAGACTGATGCTGAGGCTGAAGCAGGCTGAGGCTGAGGCTGAGGCAGGCTGAGGCTGAGGCAGGCTGAGGCTGAGGCTGAGGCAGGCTGAGGCTGAGGCTGTGACTGCGACTGCCGTTGCCACTGCGACTGTCATCGCGAATGCGACTACGACTGCGAGAACAGCAGAATTCTACAACTGGATTCTCATCTGAATCTTAAGGGGAATGCTTCCAGATATGCTCCTACACATCGCTGTTAGGTTGCTTTGCCGGGATAATTACCTAACAGCGTTTGCTGATAGGTTTCTAGTAGGGTCAAAAGAGAGCATGATGACTCCTCAGGGGGGTCTGGGCGGGTGCCGGGGAGGAGAACCGGGAATCGTTTTTCGCCAACAGTCACACACTTCGTGCTCTTCGACCTCCCAGAACTCCATTCCCGGGCCACATTCTGGAGAACCGGGAACAGAGCCGGGCTCGCTTTTCGCCAACAGTCACACACTTCGTGCTCTTCGACCTCCCAGAACTCCATTCCCGGGCCACATTCTGGAGAACCGGGAACAGGGCCGGGCTTGTTTTTCGCCAACAATCACACACTTCGTGCTCTTCGACCTCCCAGAACTCCACTCCCGGGCTACATTTTGAGTGCCCGGAGCCAACTGTAAGCCACTTCGTGCTCTTCGATTTCCCAGAACTCCATTCCCGGGCCACATTTTGGATGCCCGGAGCCAACTGTAGGCCACTTCGTGCTCTTCAAGTTCCCAGAACTCCATTCCCGGGCAACATTTTGAATGCCCGGAGCCAACTGTAGGCCACTTCGTGTTCTTCTAGTTCCCAGAACTCCGTTCCTGGGCCACATTTTGAATGCTGAGGCAGGCTGATGCTGCGGCCGAGGCAGGCTGAGGCTGAGGCAGGCTGAGGCTGAGGCCGAGGCTGAAGGCAAACTGAGGCTGAGGCTGAAGCAGACTGAGGCTGAGGCTGAGGCAGGCTGAGGCTGAGGCTGACGCAGGCTGATGCGGAGGCAGGCTGAGGCTGAGGCTGAGGCTGATGCTGAGGCTGAGGCTGAGGCAGGCTGAGGCTGAGGCAGGCTGAGGCTGAGGCTGAGGCAGGCTGAGGCTGAGGCTGTGACTGCGACTGCCGTTGCCGCTGCGACTGTCATCGCGAATGCGACTACGACTGCGAGAACAGCAGAATTCTACAACTGGATTTTCATCTGAATCTTTAGGGGAATGCTTTCAGATATGCTTCTACACATCCCTGTTAGGTTGCTTTGCCGGGATAATTTTTCCGTCTTGCTCCAGACGCTTTCCTCCATGTATACGAGGAGCGCCGTGCGAGAATAGAGCCTCTACGGGCCCCGTGGTAACCTGGTTGACGGTTTTCCCGCCGGTTTCCCATGATGGCTTTGGGGTGGGTTTTGCTAAGATTTGAAAGTATGTTTTAGACAATTCATTTTGATTATTTTGAGAAAACCAATTTTTTACCTACCAGCTTTTGCTGATAGGTTTCTAGTAGGGTCAAAAGAGAGCATCATGACTCCTCAGGGGGGTCTGGGCGGGTGCCGGGGAGGAGAACCGGGAATCGTTTTTCGCCAACAGTCACACACTTCGTGTTCTTCGACCTCCCAGAACTCCATTCCCGGGCCACATTCTGGAGAACCGGGAACAGAGCCGGGCTCGTTTTTCGGCCAACAGTCACACACTTCGTGTTCTTCGACCTCCCAGAACTCCATTCCCGGGCCACATTCTGGAGAACCGGGAACAGAGCCGGGCTCGTTTTTCGTCAACAGTCACACACTTCGTGCTCTTCGACCTCCCAGAACTCCACTCCCGGGCTACATTTTGAGTGCCCGGAGCCAACTGTAGGCCACTTCGTGCTCTTCGAGTTCCCAGAACTCCATTCCCGGGCCACATTTTGAATGCCTGGAGCCAACTGTAGGCCACTTCGTGTTCTTCTATTTACCAGAAACTCCATTTCCCGGTCCCGGGCACATTTTGATGCTGATAGCCACTGTAGGCCGCTTCCGTGCTCTTCAAGTTCGAACTCCATTCCTGGGCATGAATTTTGAATGCCCGGAGCCAACTGTACGCCACTTCTGTTTCTTCTAGTTCCCAGAACTCCATTCCTGGGCCACATTTTGAATGCTGAGGCAGGCTGATGCTGCGGCCGAGGCAGGCTGAGGCTGAGGCAGGCTGAGGCTGAGGCCGAGGCTGAAGGCAGACTGAGGCTGAGGCTGAAGCAGACTGATGCTGAGGCTGAGGCAGGCTGAGGCTGAGGCTGAAGCAGGCTGATGCTGAGGCAGGCTGAGGCTGAGGCTGAGGCTGATGCAGGCTGATGCTGAGGCAGGCTGAGGCTGAGGCTGAGGCTGATGCAGGCTGAGGCTGATGCAGGTTGAGGCTGAGGCCGAGGCTGAAGGCAGACTGAGGCTGAGGCTGAAGCAGGCTGAGGCTGAGGCTGAGGCTGAGGCAGGCTGAGGCTGAGGCAGGCTGAGGCTGAGGCTGAGGCAGGCTGAGGCTGAGGCTGTGACTGCGACTGCCGTTGCCGCTGCGACTGTCATCGCGAATGCGACTACGACTGCGAGAACAGCAGAATTCTACAACTGGATTTTCATATGAATCTTAAGGGGAATGCTTTCAGATATGCTTCTACATATCGCTGTTAGGTTGCTTTGTCGGGATAATTGTTCTAGACGCGAGCACGCCGGTGCCAGGCAACAGCATGTGAATCTACCCCTGCAGGACAGATCCTGAAACAAACCGCTGGGGCGCAGAGTCCGAGGGATGTCTGCAGCCGAGTGGACCTCAGCGGGGGTTCCGATAACCCACCGTGGATTCAACCAGCAGGGGTACTGCGATCGCCGCCAGGTTTACTAAGTGGATAAGAAAATTGCCCCGATACCCAAATTCATTGTGGATCCCTGGACTATCGGTCCCCCCCGGACTGTTGGTCCCCACCCCCAGTCTATTGGTCCCCCCCCCGGACTATTGGTCCCCCCCGGACAATTGGTCCTCCACCCCGGACTATTGGTACTCCCCGCGGACAATTGGTATGCCCAGGGCCGCCCCCGCTCGCGCGACAGGACAGGCAACCCACGTCGACAAGTGCCTACCCCGCGGACTATTATTCCCCCCCTGGGGCTATTGGTCCCCCGCCCTGTACTTTTCGTCCCCCCCAGACATTATGGTGCCCCCCCTGGACTACAAGTACCCTCCCCAGACAATTGTTCCCTCCAGAACCATTGAAGGTCCCTCCAAAACTATTGAATGCTACATATGCCCTGAGTTCCGAAGGGGATATAAGCATTAACCGGGTTATGCCACCCCACCCCCTGAGCTACTCCTGGCACCTGCAACCCACTTCTAAGAGCCAGGTTGGCCCCGACAAACCAGCCGTGGCATCCGCGCATCGCCCCCTATTCCACTTGTAGCGCTAGAGGCAGAAGAAGGAAACAGCAAATAAACACCAGAAACATAAACTTAACGCTCCGCGCGGATTTTTGGGATCCGCGCGGGAGCCCACCCCCTGGCGCGCTCCGCGCGCCAGGGGCGGCGCCGGAGGCGCCGCCCGGGGGGGCCCAGCGCGGATCCAAGAAACCCGCGCGGAGCGCCAAAAGCGCGTGTTTATGGCGCCTCCTCTTCCCCGAGGCACCCCACACAGCGGATCCCAGCAGCGCTGGCGATCCGTCGCAGCTGGGCCTCCCTCTCGCCCATTTCTCCTTTCCGCCCTTCGGGTCGGGCGAAAGGGGGGGATAGGAAAGGGGGGGGGGGGGGGGAGATTCAGCTCACGTGGCTGATTTTCCCGGCGCCTCCCGGCGCCGGAGGCGGCCATGCATATCGAGGAATGGGCCCCTCGGGGAAGCCAAAAATCAGCTGCACGCAGCAGGTTTCGACCCCCCCCCCTTTCCCAATCCCCCCCTCTCGTCCGGCCCTCCCTCTCTCGCCCCTTTTCTCCCTCCCTCTCGCCCCTTTCCTCCCTCGCAGCTGGGCCTCCCTCTCGCCCCTTTTCTCCTTCCCGCCCTCAACCGCCCATCAGGCTCAACCGCTGCCCTGGAGCCGCGCGAGAAAAAAAGTCTGGCCCGCGCCGGCGCACCGGCCCTCGGCCCCACGCGCCGGCCGAGGCGATCGCGCCCCCCCGGCGCCTTCCCTCCCCCCCCCCGCCTGGCGGCGCGGCGGAGCGCAGCGCGCGTGTCGTCTTCCCACCTCCTCCTCCTCCTTCCTCCTCCTCCGCCGCCTTCCGCTCCGCCTCCTCGCCGCCTCCTCCCCCTCCTCACCTCCACCCTCCCCACCCCCTCCTTCTCCTCCTCCTCCTCCGGCCGCCTCGTCACCCCCCTCCTCCCCCTCCTCCCCCACCCCCTCCTCTTCCTCTCCTCCTCTCCTCCCTCCTCCTCCTCCATCCTCCTTCCTCCTCCTCCTCCTCCTCCTCCTCCTCTTCCTCCTCCTCTTCCTCCTCGTCCTCCCCCGCCCCCCCCCCTGGAGCGCGAGCGGCGGCGCGGAGGGCGTGGAGGGACGAGCGAAGGAACGCAGAAGGTCAGCGTTGGGTCGGGCACGTCCCCCTGCAGGCAAAAGGTTTGTACTGGAACTGGAACGTACCCCAGAAGTACTCCAAAAAGGAATCGGGAGAATTGAAAAATCGTTCCCTAACTATTTTTTGCCATTGTTTAAAAATCTTCCTTCTATAGAGGAACATGCCCGACTTCAGCCTAGCGCCGGACGGCGGGCGAGCAAGGTGAAACCGAGCGCCAACATGTCGAATTGCGGTGCTGGCCGCGTTCGGGCACCAGGGTTTCCCTGCCGACTCTCGCGTGGATGCACGAGGGAAGGGAAGGCGGATGGGGCGGGAAGGGGGTACGAGAACGGCACATATGCACCGTACGGTTGGCGTTGGAAAGACGGCGTGCGCCATCGATCTCCGAAACAACACGCTATCCCTGTGAGAGGATCCCCCTGCGATGGCCCCCCTGTGCACGCTACCCTGCCAGGGCTTCTTCGGCGCATGCTCTCCCCCAAACGGGGGGTCAGCGCGTAACAAGCGGGCCGCTCGCACGCTACCTTTCCAGCGACAACCGCACCATGTCATGACTGACTTCAGGCTCCGCTCCAACGCGGCACGGTGAATAGTACTTCGGCCCTGAGGGGCGGAGAAACGATGCGCCGTGCCGTTCCCGGGCCGAGGAGCGACGACACCTCGGGAGACGACAAAGCAGCACAGTGCACACAAGTCGCCCGCGGCGGGGGGAGGAGGGGAGGAGGTGCACGGGGAGGGGAAGGAGGAAGGAGGAGAGGGAGGGAAGGAGGTTTGGAGGAGTAGGGAGGAGGGGAGGGGAGGGAGGGAAGGAGGGGATGTAGGGAAGTAGGTGGAACTGAGGGGAGGGAGGGAAGGGAGGGGAGGGAGTTGGGAAAGTAAGGTGTGGAGGGATTGAGGGGATGGAGGGAGGGGTTCTGGACAGCGTGGGGGGGATGGAGGTAAGGGAAGTAGGGACGGAGGGGGGGGGGGGGGAAGGGAAGGAGAGGAAACGATGGGCGCGGAAGGGGGGAGAAGGAAGGGCCAAGCGGCGTGGGGTGAGGGGGGATGGGAGGGGATAGACGGGGAAAGAGGAGAGGACGCGTGCCCGGCACCTGGCTCAGGAGGCGTTTCTGGGAATCCCTTCTTCAACGTATATTCTGATACACTCATCTGCAGCCCCGCAATCATGCTGACTTGGAGTGCCTCAAACTTCTGTTTGTCGCCGCGGCCGGATTTCCAGAAACTCCTCTTGCAGGCCGATGATCAGGCCAAAGTGGAATTGTGGAGAATAAGCCTCAAGCAAGCAATTTTGAGAAACTCCACGATATCCCATGAGGGGGCGACGGGAGGGCGGAATTTCGAGAAACTCCCAAGCGGCCAGATTTCAGGCCGCGGGGGAATTTCTCGAAATTGCGCCCCCACCTCGCCCCCCAGGCGGGAAATTGGGAGAAACTCACCAAACGGCCAGATTTCAGGCCGCGGGGGAGTTTGTCGAAATTGCGCCCCCCTTCCCTGGCGCGGAATGTCGAGGAGCGTTCAATCGCCAGTCCTTAGCGGGGCAGTTCTTCGAGATTGCGCTCTTCTTCGAGATTGCGCTCGCCTCCCGCCCCCCAGCGGGGAATTTCGGGAACCTCCTAAGCGGCCAGATGTCAGGCCGCGGAGGAGTTTCTGGAAATTGCGCCCGCCCCTCGCCCCAGCGGGGGATTCCGAGAAACTCACAAACGGCCAGATTTCAGGCCAAGGAGGAGTTTTTCGAAATTGCGGCCCCCGACCCTCTCGCGGAATTCCGAGGAGCTCTCAATCGTCGGTCCTTAACGGGGCAGTTGTTCGAGATTGCGCTCGCCCCCATCGCGCCCGCCCCCGGGCGGGGAATTTGAAGAAACTCCCACGCGGCCAGAGTTCAGGCCGCGGAGGAGTTTCTCGAAATTGCGCCCGCTCTCGCTCCCCCAGCGGGGAATCGTGAGAACCTCTTAGAAACAGCAAGATTTCCAGACGCGGGGGCGTCTCTCGGCATTGCGGCCCCCTACCCTGGCGCGGCATTTTGAAGAGCGTTGAATCGCCAGTCCTTCGCGGGCAATTCTTTCGAAATTGCGCCCGGCACTCTCCCCCCAGGCGGGGAATTCCGAGAAACTCACAAACGGCTAGATTTCAGGCCGAGGACGAGTTTCTCAACATTGCACCCCCCTGCCCTGACGCGGAATTTCGAGGATCGTTCAATCGCCAGTCCTTGGCGGGGCGGTTCTTCGAAACTGCGCCCGTCCCCCGCCCCCGAGCGGGGAATTTCGAGAAACTCCCGAGCAGCCAGATGTCAGGCCGCGGAGGAGATTCTCGACATTGCGGCCCCCGACCCTGGCGCGGAATTTCGAGGAGGTTTCAATCGTTAGTCCTTAGCGGGGCAGTTCTTCGAGATCGCGTTCGCCTCCCGCCCCCCAGCGGAGAATGTCGAGAAACTCACAAGCAGCCAGATTCCAGGCCGCGGAAGAGTTTCTCGAACTTGCGCCCACCCTGCTCCCTAGCGGTGAATTTCGAGAAGCTCCAGCGTGGCCAGTTCCAGGCCGCGGAGTTTCTCGAAATTGAGCGGGGGTGGTTCTGCAGGTGTCTCCTCGTGATGCCCCTATGGTACATCACTCTGGGTTTCTTGATAAGCGTGGGGGGGTACCCCCCCCCGACAGGGGGTCAACCTCGCCTCGTCGTCGCGCCGCGACGGGAGTCGGAGCGCCTTCGGCGCGCGGTGGCTGCCCGCGACGAGGGTCGATGTGGGGCTGTCGGCGGGGGTGACGCCCCCCCCCACCGACGCGTATTATTAAGAAGCTCGGAGCATTCGAGCAACTATGTCGAGAAAACTATTTCGAGAGACTATGTCGAGAAACTATTTCGAGCACTTCGAGAACAGATTCGAGAAGCGCGGAGTATTCAGACGCCCCCCCGACGTACTTCGAGAAACTCCCCGCGCTTTCGCAGGGGGGCGGAGCGCGGAGTGCCTCGGGAAACCCAGAATGGCCGCCCGCCGCGTGCCCACCCGCCGCCCGCCGGCCCTGCTCGAACCTGTTTGAAGGGGAACTGGGACACACAAATAAATGCACACAAACAAACATATCCCCCATCTTTTCCTATATGTTCTGGGCTTTTGTCTTCCTTCCCCCCGCACTTCCCATATTTTCCCATATTTTCTGGGGAGTCGCCGATTGATGGTGTCTGTGTGTTTCTTTTCCTCCTGACTATTGCCTGCCAACCACGAGGCGCAGGTCTCGGAACGCGGCGCGCGCCGCTTTGCACGGGGGGGGGGGCGGGGG